CGAGGCCATCAGTCATGTCTGCTTGTCTTTAACGAGCCCACTTGACACGTTTTATTGTCCTTGGGTCTGGCTCCCAGCCCCTCTCCAACAGTTAAGGCTGTCTGGAGGTGCTGCCTTCCATGCCTTGCTCATCCACACCTCATTCATTCAACAGGGCAATTGATTAAGAGTGGAGGGGGGAGAGCTCTTGTTCTACTGCTAGCAAAAAGAAATTTTTCTTCTATCTTATTCTATCCTTAGGGGCTATAATATTATACCAAGGGCAATGCAAAGTTTCTAAATGAGCCTTTGATACAAAGTCCCATGAAAACAGAGGTCACACATGGGTAGACCCACCACAAGGTTATATGAAGAGGTACAATGTAAAGTCATATGAAAATTATCAGAGATTTATCTACATCCTTCCCAACCCCAGTTTGGGGACTACCGCAGCGGGGAAGAGAGGGAGAGACCCCCCTCCTTTCCAGCCCCAGCTCAGGGGCTGCTGCAGCGGGGGGGAGGGGGGAATTCTCTCATCGCATTAGAAAGATAAGACTACTGATATTAAAATGTGTTGTGTGCTTTTATTTGTAGAACAAAAAAAATTAATAATTACTTTTTTTTTATATAGTGCTTTTATTCAAAGCGCTTTACAGTAGTTAGCTAACGGTACAAACAACATTTGGAAAGATCATTAAGTTGTCCGCCGAGACCCTCAACAATTTTCAAGCGGTCCGTGGAAAACCGTGGGAAAAAAAAAAGTTTGAGAACCACTGCATATTTAGCAGTCTATTATGTTTAAGACCTGAAGCTTGAGGGGGTAGCCCTTCCAAAACTCTTGTTTGCATTAAGTTTTAGAGCTCTGGGTATTTTGTATCCATATAAATGTTTAATTTCTTTTAAATCATACTAAATTCATCTGAAGAGAGCTTTGAAAGTTCTAATTTCAAATGTTTATAATTCCCTTTCCTGTGCTACATCAAAAACATTCACCTATCTGGGTGATAGTAATAGTGTGTTGGCCACCATAGTCTCTAAGCATTATTAAGGCTACGTTTTAGTCACGGGTATTTTTAGCAAAAGTCACGGACAGGTCATGGGCAATAAAGAAAAATTCATGGCCTATGATCTGTCCATGACTTTTATTAAAAGTACTAGCGGTGAAAATTCTACCCCCCTGAGAGATGTACATATACCTACCTAACCCCAGGTGTAGACAACACTAGGTTGATGGAAAAAGAATTCCGTCGACCCTCCTCAGGAAGGTGGATGGAGTACCTACACTGGCGGACATAGGGAGTGTCCACACTGAAGTGCTACATAATCACACGTGTGTGTGTGTATAAGAAACTATGCTACTTGATTTTAGTAGTTCTTGTTCTTCCTTCTCCCACTCTGTTTTTGCTGTCCCTTGTATCTTATCTTCTGACTTCAGGAATTAAACTCTTTGGGGCATAGGTCCATATCTGTTTTTCTCAGTAATGCTCCTAGCACGCTTTTGGGTGTTCCACCCCATTTTGTTTATCCACTTGATTCTTTAGTACGGACCAAATGATGTTTTCCCCATTAAATAAACTTTCCAGATTTTTGTTTGATCTCTAAAGCAGTGTTCAATGTCTTTGAAGAAATCTGCTTGTCCAGTAACCTATAATAAGCGATAGGAGAAACTGAGTTCTTCCCACGCACCACCACTTATTTTCTGTCTAATTAATAATAATATCAAAGTTTGGTACTCCAGATTTCTAGGGAAGTGTCCATCTGTTCGAATCATCATATACTGAAATAAAAACAGGTCCATCTATTTTAATGACTGCATGTTGAAAGAAGCATGAGAAACCTAGAAATAAGAGACAGATTTTTAAGAGTGAGAGATATTAACCATTAGAACAAACTATCAAAGGAAGTGGTGGATTCTCCATCTCTTGAAGTTTTCAAATAAACATTGGATGCCTTTCTGGAAGATACTCTGTAATCAAACACAAATTATTCGGTTCAACAGGAGTAACTGAATGAAACTCTATGGGTTGTATTACACAGGAGGTCCCAATAGGAGAGCCATTGGTCCCTTCAGGCCTTAAAAGCTATGAATCTATTAATGTGGTTGGGTGGTTTATTTTTTAAATAAGGAACCTAATGTTCTGATACAGGGGTCTCGAAACTTTATGAGACGAGGGCCATATTAGATTTTTGAAGGGGCTTCGCGGGCCGAAGTGACTGTGGAAGAAATTAAATATATGCAAATATATGCAAAATTATTAAAAAAACAACACTACTCTACTGTGTCAGAGTTGCATTAAATTCTAAATCAGGTATAAAAGTTAATGGATGCAGGTACTGTGAAATCACACAAAATATTTGTCAATACATTAAAAATCATTTCACATTTTTTTATTTTATTTCTAAAAACTCACATTTGTATCATACAAATACTGTTTGGTTCTATTAGTGATGTAGTTAAAAGTTAACCATTATGAAATTGTTAATTTCCATCTTCTTTACTCCATTTATTGGAGATGTAATTAAGCATCTGGTTTGTATTTTTACCCTAAGGCAGGGGTCCGGGCCTGCTTGGCTGCAGCAAGGACTCTCCCCTAAGTTGGCTCCCCTTTTGGGGGGACACTGGCTCCCAGAGGCACTCACCCCACTGCACAGCTCAGCTGAGCTACTCCCCCCTCCAAGCTGCTGCCGGCAGCCCCTCCCCCTGCCTGCTCTACGTGCCTACTCAGCTGCGTGCAGCCTGCCTGTTTGCTGCAGCCTGGCAGGTACAAGGAGAAGCAATGGCTCTCCCCTAAGTTGGCTCCCCTTTTGGGGGGACACTGGTTCCCAGAGGCACTCACCCCTCTGCACAGCTCAGCTGTGCTGCTCCCCCGTGTGAGCTCCCTCTGCTTGCTCATGCCTACTCAGCTGTTCGCTTCTCCCCTGTTGGTTGGAGGGCCGGACAAATGGAAGCCCCGGGCTGGATCTGGCCTGCGGGCCGTAGTTTGGAGACCCCTGTTCTGATACAATAAGAAACCAATGTGTGCCTAGTTTATGGACTAAGAAATCATATGTACATGCAAAGTAGAGGAGATAAGCTCCCCATGCTAAGGGAGGCTGTGTTGTCTAATGGTTAAGTCAGGAGATTGGCTTCTCATCCCTGCTCTGCCATTAATTTGCTATGTGGTGGTATAGAAATGTAAATTATTTCAGTTTGAAGCTTTGAGAGGATGCTGAAATAATGAAGTGGCCGAGACAGCGACCATTGCTGTTTTAAATAGTTAAACACATTAAGAAATCTGTGATAATTTGTGTCCCTAGTTTATGCATTGAATCCTTGTTTTATTTGTCATGCAAGTTAACAATATTGTTGCTTTTCTCTCCCTAACAGGTGAGATTCTTCCTTTGGGGACTCTGCTGAAGCAGTCCTGTTGAAATCATGGATGGTGAGATCTGCAGTTTTCCTTCCCCCAGCATTTCCTTTTACATCTAGGGCCAATAAATGAGTGTAGTTAGTGAGTTAATGAGTTCAGAGAAGATGGCTGTAAACTGCATTTAACTAGTGTAAAATTAAATCACAGTAATTGTTTATTAGCAGATGCTTTTGAGGTCCAGAGACTAAGGCTATGTCTACACTTGCACTTTTGTCGTTAAAACTTTTTTCGGTCAGGGGTGTGGAAAAAACACACCCCTGGCTGACAAAAGTTTCACCAACAAGTGTCCACACTCTTCCACCAACATAACAACTGCCACTCTCTTCCACCAGCATAGAGCGGCTACACAGGAGACCTTACAGCTGTAAGGTCTGTAGTATAGACTTATCCTAAATCCCCTACCAGTCTATTCAAAATGCCTCCGTCAAAATCCTCTTCAATTGAGCTGCCTTGTCACATCTTCAGCATCAAAGGCTAAATCACGCAATTGTTCTTTCCTCTGAATTTCATCTCCCCTCAGTCTGTTTCGTTCCCCTCTCTCTGCTCACATTTCTTTATTGCCTGGTCCCTTCTGGCCCTGCACATATTTCCTTGGTCTTTGATTCCCTTCTTCCCCAGACATGCTGCCCAGCTGCTTGGTCCCCATGCTCTCCTGAATATGCTCCCCTTCTCCTTTGATCCCATTGATATTTCCCGCTGATGACTGGCAGTTCCACCCCCACTATTGGCTCTGATCCCTTTGGACAGCCCCTGTTTCTACTTTTTCAGACCTCCAGACTCTTCTTTGTAATGAGGCTGCCAACAAGGAAATGCTAGCAAAGTGCGGCCTGCCAGCTTTCTGTGGGCCATTGATGGACCACAGTTTGGAAGCCTGTGCAATAAACCAAAAATTAATCTAGAACCAAAATAATATAGAGCATACCTAACAAGCTGTAGAAATCTCCTGTCATTCCCTGTGTTTCTGCTTGCAGCTCCAATCTACCTTTCTTGATCAACATAGCTGACAATTTCTGCTCCTTGCTTTGTTGTTTCCCGTGTAACTTTTTTTATACATAGCGAATTTTAAAGAAATAGTGTCTCAGACACATTGTTTTACATTAGCCGAAGAGATTGGAAGCTATTCCGTATTCCATTGTTGTCTTCCTTTTTCCAACAGCAGTTTCACTTGGGGCTAACTTATGGTTTTATAAAAAAAAAAATCAGGGCTCTGATTACATCTAATTAGCGATCAACTTTTCTTTGTAATTAGATCTGATTGCAATATCTTGGGCACATATTACATTGCAGTTTTCCTTTAATTGGGCTGTGGTGACTCTTGGTTTGATTGGTTTGTTTCAGGTGATGATGACTTGGAGCTGTTGGCCTCCCTGTTAGAAGAGAATGAGGCAGCTGAGGATGGGACTACTCCTGAAGAGACCACAGCTCACTCAGATGAGGCTGGAGAACCAGATGAGTATGATGAGCTCTTTGACGCAGAGGATGATGCATCCTACACCGAGGAGGTTGATGCCGAGGAGAGTGAAACCAGTGAACAGAAGGAAAATGCATCTGCGTTGTTTGGAGATGTGGATGACCTGACAGAAGAAGAGGAAGAGGAAGAAACTGTACAGGAAATACCCTGTTCTCCAGCTCTCAATCAGGAGAAGGAGAAAAACAATCAAGATTTGCAAGGTTTGCTAAACAGCAATTTTTGTCTGATTTGTCATGCCCTTCAAGCTCATGACCTTCAAATATATATAATCTCTTTACAAGCTGTGGTGATCACTAGAGAGCTGATTAGGGCATACCAGAGGGCTCACGGGATTGGTTAGGGATATAGAGCCCTTCCTCTCAAGGTCTCCAGTTCAACTCCAGCCCTGTTGGGAAGTGGTTGAAAGCTCTCATGAAGACAGTTGAGTGGCCTGGGTTAAGTAAGCATATTGGGTTTAGTCCAGTTTTAAATGTCCACATGGCAAAATTTACCATCCCAAATGCCACCTTTGTCAACAGAAAGACCAAGGACTGAATGAGCCATGGAGACTGAACTACCCCCTCACCCCTAGAGATGGTTCTGGTTAGGATTGAAGTACATTAGCACACCAAAACAGGGAAGCTTATGTGACCACTTGTACCAGTTCTATGGATAAAGAGTTCTTCACCCTCTAAGGCTGTCACTCTGGTAGCTTTCACCAGTACAAAAAAAATCATCACACACTTAAACTTCAACAACAGGCGGTTCATCAGAACTGCTTCTTGTGTGTTTATTGATCTTTGGGGCTGAATCTGATTGGGTTGGTTAAAGTCTTAACATAAAAATCAGCATCAGAGTAACTTAAAGGGGTAGTATCAATGCTATTGTGACTATGCTAAGTTGAGCCATGCGAACACATACAGGTCGCTGGTATACGATCCAGTGCTGGTACTTTTGGGGCTGGTACTCAGTACTCCATTGTTTGTATTGAGAGGGAAATATTAATGCACATGGCATAGCATCACCTAACTAGTGTTGATTGTATGAAGAAATACCTTTGTTAAAGAAAAATTCAGCTCCAGGCGGGCTGTTGGGAAAGTCTGTTCTCCCTGTGAATCTTACAAAACTTGAGCTTTCTTTTTATCATGGCTTCAGTCTTTTTTCTCTCTTCCCTTAGAATCACTTCTAAATTCCCATCATTTAGTAAAGCCAATACACTTCCAATAATCTTGTAAATCTTAATCCGTGCTGGTTTCCTGCTATCTTCATGATCTTTTCTCTCTCCTAGATGAACTGAGGAAATTGCAAGAGCAGATGAAGAAGTTACAGGAGCAGTTACAAATGACTGCAATTGGGCAGCCATCCAGCTCAGGCCCTCAGAAAAAAACCCTCGGTAACTAGGTTAACTAAACACATTTTTCATGTCTCTGCATCCAAACTTGTATTTATAGTCAAGTCTTGCAGACAGCTAGGTGTCTAGGCAAAAGATGTCAACTAGTAGAAGGGGGACAGCCCGGTTGAGAGAACACAGGCCTAGATTCTATTCCTTGCTGCTACAAATTTCTTGTGTCACCTTGGGCAAGTCACTGAATCACTGACCCTCAGTTTCCCCATTTTACATGATGCTCTGGAGGGTGTTGTACTGACTCACGTGCATAAAGCTCTTTGAGGTCCTCTGATGGAAGGCGCTACATTGGAGCCCATTGTTAGTAGGCAGTGGTACATTTCACACAACATACACATCAGATTGCTTTGTGGTGTTACTGTGAGTGATACAGCTGTGTGGTGAATGTGGTAGGGATAAAAGGGTCATATTTGGGGCTAGCAATGTGTGTTACCAGAGCTCCAGCTTAATACAGCTCAATGGTTCATATGTACCTGCTGTCTTGAGTTACTGGAGGATGAGTGGCTGGGGTCTACCCCCCTGGTTCCATTCAAAAGCAGGCTTTCGGGGGCGGCGCGCATTTGGGAAAGGG